GCAGCCGCAGCGCCCGGGGCCCCACCTTCCGGCGGGGAAAGGTCGGGCGCCGGGAGCGGAGAGGACTGAGGACTCCGGGGTGCGAATCCCGCTCAAGCTTGCTGAGCCTCAACTTTCCTCTCTGTGAACTGCGGCCAGCGAAATAAAGAAAACGATGTGGGAGAAAGAGCCCAGCCCAGGGCTTAAATAAGCAATGCCTCATGTCATCATTTAATCTCTCTGAGCCTCAGTGTGTCCAATCCTGGAAATGGGACCGCACGACCTGCCTACAGAGGATAGTAAGAGCATCAAAGACGACAAAATGCTGTCCAGGCCTCCAGAGTTTCAGTCTCCTCATGGGTGAAACGAGGGCTAAATAGTGGTAAGTGCACCTACTATGTGCCTGGTGTTTTCTGCTCTTAGAACAGCTCTCCGAGTTTTAACTCATGGAATGATGTAAAAAACAAAACAAAACAAAACAATGGGACTGGGACGGTGACCATCTCCATTTCTCCGATGGGGAAACCGAGGCAGGGAGAGGAAAAGTAACGCGCTCAAGGTCATACAGTCAGGAAGAGGGAGAGCTGGGTTCAAGCCCGGATGTTTCCTGCCATTATAAAGAGGGGTCTGGGGGAGAACGTGCAGTCTTAGGTCCTCAAAGGTGTCCATTTCCTCCTCTCGCTTGGTAACCCCTCCTGCCAGCTTCCCCACCTAAGCCACAGGGCCCGCAGCCTTCCTCGGAGGACTGCCGTGGGATGACCAAGGGTACGGGACCCAGCACACAGTGGGTCTCCGAAGTGTTATCCTCAGCTCCGGCCCCGCCCCCTGCCGTCACCAACTCTGTCCTGCCTCGATTTTCCCTTCCCTGTAAAATGGGCACAACATTGCCCACTTCGAGTTATTATAATTAAAGCGCATTCTTTAGCTACAAAAATAAAAGGGCCCAAGTACATTGTAGGTGCTCAAATACGTCTTTCCCACCCCTCTGCCTCGGCCAGTCCGGACCCCTGTCTCTGATCCGCAGTTTTTACAAGTGAGAACCGAGACACTTGTCATCTGGGGGCGGGTACTGAGAACGATGACTCAGTGATTAAAGGGTTCAAGGTCCCAAAGCGAGCCTCAGTTTCTCCATCTACAGAATAGGCCCGGGGCGGCCAGCGAGGACCCCGAACCAGACTCGCACACAGTAGGAACTCGGGTTGGGGGGGACTAT